TATTCGACTCTTCTGTTAAACTCCTCGTAGTAAAATAAGTTTTCATTCATACTCGCACAACGCTCGCACTCTTTTATGAAAGAGGTGTCTAGGAAATGTGAAGTCAATATACGGATTTGGTAATCAGTTAAGGTAACTGTGACGGAGTTAATTATTTCACCCTAGGAAGCGAATAGTAATACGGGTCTGCATAAAAAAACGCACTGACAATTTACGTTTAACCACGCCAGTTTAGATATTTAACATGCAAACAAGGCATCAGGTTCAAAGATCTGAAGTGTATAAAACATCAGATATCATGCTGCTGAGACTGTCATTGTTACTCGCGGACGCATGTCTTCGGCCATTTGCTGATTTATCTTTCAAATTAAACGTGCTGAAATGCATAGCGCATTAAATGTAATAGCAGCGGGCGCTACTACTTTTCCTGAGAAATACTGATGACAAATTTATCCGGTGTAATATATATATATATATATATATATATATATTTGAACCTTACAGAAGTACACACGAAAGACGTGTACGCGATAATAAGTGAAAACAGGGAAATGTATGAAAATCAAACAGTAATGGAGTGGAAGGAACCTTTTGATTCCAGTTTATCTATATGTGAGTTCAGCTGAATATTCCGGCCCTTAAAAGTACCATCGTCGTGACCAGAAATTGTCAACTTACCTGAAGCTTGTAATGCTGTTGTATCCATCCTTTCCTGACGACTACGGCCTGGCCCTGCGATATGACTCAAAGTATATATGCAGTCAGTTTTCACACTGGTTAGAGCACGAATCTAGACAGACCATGTTATAGTATTTTGTAGGTGATACATTTTAAAATGTCCTGTACCCTTACCTATGGTTTATTTGACTGTAGGCTGCGCCAAGTAAACAGTGGTTAAGGTACAAGTGAAGTACACATACAGTCGGTTACCCATTTCACGAAATTCAAGAAAATCTCTGGTACGCAAAAGCAGCCGGAGCGTTCCAAGGACTATCGGCAATAAAGTAATAATCCTTATAGTATTGCGTTGTTTATAACTTTTAGATCTTCAGGAAAACGAACAATTCCGAAAAAGTAAAAAATAGAGTTTTCTAAGTAAACGAAAGCTTTTAATGTAAAGAATGACGTATCATGTCAGAAAACGAGTGACGAAAGCAGCACAGGTCGATTTTCACTTGAATATAATCTTTTGTGCAAGCTTCGGATACATATGCTTTCATATTAAGTGCAGTGTAAAGTACAGATGTTTTCAGAGAACCGGAAGTTCAAATTTAAATTCCAGCATGGTTTTCTGAGAAATACCTGTTGCTGCTTCCCCTTATACATGTTTTGTGATATATTGGACTTAATCGAGCAAATAAGCGCTCAATGGCGCTTATTGAGACGTCACAGGATTAATACATTTTATAAACTGAAATATGCACATGTCGCTCAGTTGCTAATAAGTGGAAATGAATTTGCCAGGTTCAACCGTAAATGTACCTTTTTATGTACATTAGGAGAGGTTTCCTTCGATTACGACGACGTTCAGATTGTTCTCGAAATCATGATAAGTACATGCCGTTTTTGGATTGCTCGTAAATGCAGATTAGGTTCTACGTATTTACCAAAACCTTCAAAATAAGATATTTCTTAAGAGCCTTTACCCAAATAGCGAGTTTCTGGACATTCGCCTTTAGGCAGCCGTCTGCTTTTGTCATGGTCACAGAATCACCAAAACACGTCACCCCGTTATGGAGAGAAATGAACGTTCACAATATGTCTAAAACAAATTAAAAAAAATCCAATGACAAGTTGACTGTTGAAAAAGCGTTTTAATTAGATACTTTGACGCCAGATATGTGTGTTCTTTAACAGTTTGAAGATAAAACCAAGATAAACCTGAGATCGTCTGAATATTTTTTGACTTTCCCGAAAATTGTGGATAAAAATTCTGTTGGAAATTAAGGAAATCTGACTTCTTATTAGATTGGAGGTGTTTTCGGTATATGTTTTTAATTTTAGGTCCCGTTATAACAGAATTTATACTATGATTTCGAAAAACCCGATAATCTTCTGCCCGTTTCGTTTTTTGTTTCCTCATTCGTTCATATGGAGTTTTAGATAGAGAATGTTCGGACATATTTTGTACACTGGGTGATATAGAAAAGAGACGGTATGTTGCGAGTGCTTATGCATGTTTGATTTGGGATGCTTGCTTTCGGCTTGGTAAAAAAAACCATACAAGTTTATTACTAAATTGCATAGCACATACCGTACCAGATTTGCAAGATCTTTTAAAACAAACATACTCTAATATTACCGAAAATAATTCGATTTGTAATAAGTACATTTGCCTGATTTATTTGACGGCAAAGCTTAATTGTTCCTCCTCTAGAACGATAAGGTTAACACTTTTTTAGCCAATAAAAGCGGTATTTTATAGTTCAACACGCACAAAATTGACCTTTAGAACCGCAGAGCTTAATAACATGGGAAATTTATTGGAAATCAAGAAATAGTTGATGTGACCCACACTGGCCAACTTTATTCCCTCAGTACGCTCATCCTAACTGACTTGTTTTCAAGTGAATAACAGTTTCCGCCTCGAGTCAATTAAATAAACAATCCCGCCTACCAAGGCTAACACCTGTTCAAAACAGAGCAATAGTTTGGGCGAAGGAACATACGCGGGTCCGACAGCCGGCAGCCACGAGCGAAGGAGGTAGAAACGCTCAGAAGCCGCAAAAACGACTTACCTCACCTCATGGAGGCGCCCGCGAGGACGCGAACAATTCAAACACCAACCGGCAATCGATCGGTACTGTCAATCGACACGCGGGCATCAAGCACGGCTAGCTGTTAGAAACACTCACACGACAACAGCAGGAACATAGGCATTACGCTCTGATGATAGAAGCGAGAATGCTTCTGAAACATCAGCATAAATACAGCCTGGTCTCAGAAATAACCCCATCTCCTTCTT